GAACTTGTCCATGCAATCAGTAAATAAATAACAGGATTGACTTTTTGTAATGCACATCCTTTTGATCCCCTTTCAACAAGAGAGGAACTAGTTGATCGACAACAGACTATTTATCCCCTGAAACAGGAGTGGAACTAGTTTAAATGCCATTCAAACTATTGATCCCCTAAATTAGGAGTGGAACTAGTTTGAATGCCAATGACTCAAACTTTTGATCCCCTAAAGGAGAGGAACTAGTTTGAAATGCTAATCCAAACAAACTATGGATCTCCTTTTTTCAAAACAAAGGTGTGGAACTAGTGTGTGTGTGAGACGTCAACATTAACACAAACACTCAATTTTGTTTCAAACTTACCAATTCAAAAGAGAAGTCCGAGAGAAAGTGAGTTACGAAGTTATCATGCCAATGATTTGTTTTTATCTTTACAGGTGAGAGGACTGATGACAAAAATGTGTGGGAGGAGAGTACTAAAACAAGTGTCATTGCGTCATTCACAGCCAATCAAAGAACACCTTGTGTCAACTGTGACTTTTACGTTATAAAATAAGACACCTGAAACTGTCAGTTAAAAATCAAAAAATAATGGCTGCCCCAATTGATGTCCTCATTGACGTATATCCATCTGTTGGTAAGTTCGGAATGTGTAACCCGATAGTGATAACTAATGCCTTTTGTTCTTGGTAGATGAACTTGGTAGGTTGTATGTTTGTGTTTTACATTAAAAAGCAAAAAAATAACTGTATTTATAGCAGAAAAAGAAGTCAGGGAGAAGGAGAAAAAAAGAGACAGAGGAAAAAGGGGACAGAGGCAAAGAGGAGAGAGAAGACAGTACATAGGAGAATGGTAAGATTGAAAGGTGAAACCTACAACTATACGTGACATTGCTTTGAATAGATTCCAACAGCTTAAGTAAGTTTATTTTATGATTGCAACTGTTGCTGTCAAGCACATTTAAGAAGGACAATAATCTTGAAAAGTAACTTTGCAGTGTGTATTTTCATTAGTTCTACAAGCACTTACAACCATTACGTAAGAAGAATGAAGGAAAGCCATTAGGTAATTAAACAATAGTTAAATTACTTGTACTTTAAATCCATATTTGCAAAGACTTAGAACAGTTTCAGCCAGCAGTAAAAAGTAAACAAAGTTTAAGTGTAAATTAAAGGCTTTATGCCAATGTAAAGTAGGACAGCGGAACAAATAGAAGAAGGGAGTGAGAGAGGAGAGTAGCGGATAGTGAAGATGATTGGGAGGCAGAAAGTGAAACATGGGGGACAGAAGGGACAGGCACAGGAGAGGAGACAGAGCAGAGAGTGAAGGAAAAGAAATTCAAAGTAATAATGGAGCAATAATGTAATTAATAATAACTTTATTTATTTTATTGTTAGAAGAAAAGGAGGCAACATCAGGCCAAAGGAAACGGACTTTGTGGTGGACATGGGAGGGGAGAAGGTGGCCAAGGAAGAGGAGGTGGCCAAGACAAAGGCCAAAGATGAAGGGGAGGAGGATCCCAAAGAGGAAGAGGACAAGGCCCTGCTACAACAGTAAGTGAAAAACATTAAGAAAGATAGCATTACCAATAATTTTTATAGGAATCATCAACAAGTGCAAAGACTATTAACTATTCAAATGTCACATGTAAAAAACTTAATTAGACTTCTAAATAAAACTATTACTTGTAAACTCAAAGAGAAACGATGGCTAAGTTTAAATGAAGTGTGTGGATGATTGGTGTTGAAAACAAGTCATAAGGACTTTATTAGCACTAGAAGATGGAACAATATCTCTTCAACTTGGTATTGAAAAAACTTACTAGTAGAGTAAGCCACTCACTTCCGGTCACCATCTACTTTCAGATGCTGTTTTCAGCTTTCATGTATCTTATCTACAAGAAGTATAGTATCTTTAGAAACTGCAAAGGCTCTAGTTTTATGTGGTATGATTTTTTACAATGCTTGGCTTTTTTTCGCAAAGCTATAGCACAGTAAAAGTAAAATTCGAACCCATGAACTTTCGCTTGCACCTCATGGAATTTCGTATGCAAAGTACTGCTCCTGAGAGAAAAAGCCATCTAAAATTTGCTTTGTACCTAAGTAACCTTCTATCCTTAGTGAAGCTATAACAGTAGTAAAGACATCTCTTTGTTCCATCACAAATCTGGAAAAGGTTAAAAATCTCGAGGTGTTAATTAATTAGATAATCGGACACGCCTACTTCACTGCACATGGTTGTTTCTTTGCCAGGTCGAGTTGCTATCTCATATATAGTTATCTCGTTCCTTCTCACTTTTGGCTTGTATTGTTGTCAGTCTTTTTGTTTTTAATCGTCAATGGTCTTGTTTTCACTTCCATTTTAGACTGAGTAAATGACATTGACATATTAATTAATTATACATACAGTACTCATCCCGGCCGCAAACGTCTTTGTAGCCTATAAGCTCCAAATCAAATGGGATTGGGCCGGTGCAGGAATATGTTTCTGTTGTGATTATATTTGTTGTTTTGCAATATAAATTGATGTGTATTGATTTATACCAGGCTAGTGGTTAGATACCTATGATTGCAATTTAGAATGTTCAGTAATCTATAATTTTTACTTTAGTATGATTAGTGCCAAAGTTAATAGCAGACCATTGAGAGAGCGTACGTTGTCTAGTTCCAAATTACAAGTATCAAGTGAAGTTTGAAGTGAAGGTGCTTGCAAGAGGGGTTCCTATAAGTAGTATGATGAATCAAAATTATACAAGGCATATGAGGCTGTGCAGTCAGGAAAATTATCAATTAGACGTGCGGCACTAGAATTTTCTGTACCATTACCTACATTATCTGACCGAATTACGGGGAAAGTCCCTTTTTTTAAAAAAGGAGGTCACCTTCAGTATTGAACTGAGTCTAAAGTATTGTAAGAGCAGCATGGATTGGTTATGGGTTCGGGAAAAAAGAAATAATAGCATTAGTGCAGGAGCTATTAGATAATAGAACCGGTGATTATCATAAGGACATAAAGGTGACATATGGGTGGTGGGATTCCTTTCGGAGGCGGCATCCTGATATTGTTCTTCGACAACCAGAGCCAATGTCTCGTGTTTGTCATATGGCTGCACAAACTCAAATTCTTCAGAAGTACTTTGAAGAAGTCAGGCGTGCTCTTCTAGATAATGATTTAATTGACAGACCTGGCCAGATCTTCAATATGGATGAGTGTGGGTTTCCTCTCGACCCGAAATCACCATTTGTAGCTTGCAAAAAGGAGAGAAACACCCAACATTTGTTACTACAGGAGGGAAGACTCATAACTGTAGCAGCATGCTGTAGCGCTAGTGGATATTTTATACCTCCATTAGTCATTTTTGATAGAAAAATTTTTAAGGCAGAGTTGACCATTGGAGAAGTTCCAGGGACGATGTATGGTCTTGCATCATCTGGTTGGATAGATAGCGAGATTTTTCACGATTGGCTCTGTAAGCATTTTCTTCCTCATGCACCTGGATCACGCCCACTTCTTTTACTACTTGATGGGCATTCTTCCCATTACTGCCCTGACACGATTAATAAAACAGCAGAAGAAAAGATCATAATCTTTTGCCTTCCACCTCACACCACTCATAGAACTCAGCCTCTTGATAAAGGTTGCTTTTCTCCCCTTAAGGCTTATTGGAAGGAAGAATGTCATGACTACTTGAGGAAAAATCCTGGAAAGGTTACTACCAGATTTCAGTTTAATCAGGTTTTTTCTAGATCATGGATGAAGGGTATGACAATGAAAAATATCACTTCTGGAT